GCCTCGCGCTCTTGCTAGGGATGGCTCTCACCTCTAGCCACTTGCTCACGTGCTCAACCATGAGCACTATATACTGGTTCCCACTCCTGCTCAGCGGCAGTTCTCCCGCTAGGTCCAAGGACCATCGAAACCTCAAACCACAGATTGGCAATGACTGCAGCTCTGCCTTGGCCTGAGTGAGGTTTGCCTTGCTCCTCTGACAAGCCTCGCACCCTTCTACCCATTCTTTCACTTGCCGGCGCATCCCTTCCCACCACCAGCCCGTTTTCAGCAGGTGTACGGTCCTCTCGTGCCCGAAATGCCCCAGCTTAGTGTGCACTTCTCTGATCACTGCTTCACGTTCCTCTGGCGCTGGCACCAGCTTCCAGCCATCCTCTGTTTTTATCTGCAGCTGCTGTTGAAACCACCTGTAGTGATGCCCTCGTGCCCTCACCCTTTCAGACACTGTCTCATCTTCCTCGGTCTCTCCCTTCACCCATTCCATTGCCTTTGCATCCTGCCAAATGTCAGCTGGCCCCTTACTCCCCCTCGCACTGTTCTGCTCCACCTCCCTCGCCAGCAAAATCAAGGTATACGCTGGCTCCTGCTCTGTCCGTTCAGTCTCCAGTGCCTCCTGTTCCGTCTCCAGTGGTGGTGGGTTGCGGGAGAGACCGTCGACGTGCTGTAGTGTCTTTCCCGGCCTGTGCCTTATCCTGAAGTCGTATTCCTGCAGCTTTACTGCCCACCTTGCGTTCCTGCCCGTCAGCCCCGGTGTGGTCATCACCCATGTGAGGGGCTGATGGTCAGTGACCAGGGTGAACTCTCTACCCTGTAGATATACTCTGAAATGCCCCACTGCCCATACAGCCGCCAGCCCCTTTCCGATATACGAGCTGTACTGTGCTTCAGCCGGGTTACAGCTCCTGCTGGCGTAGGCCACTACCTTCTCCACTCCCTCCACCTCCTGGCATAGTATTGCCCCCATCCCCTGACTGCTCCAGTCGGTGTAGAGGATGAAGGGCTGGTCTGCTGCCGGCAGCCGCAGCACTGTCGCTGTCTTTACAGCGGTCATCAGGTCCTGCAGCGCCTCCCTCTGCTTCTCTCCCCACTCTCATGCCTTGTCTTCCCGCAGCATCCCGTTCAACACCGTTGCTCTCTTGCTGAAGTTAGGCACGAAGCGTCTGTAATAGCTGAGGAAGCCCAAGACCGCCCTCAGCCCGGACTTGTCTCTGGGTTCCCTCAGCCTGTCCAGCACCTGCACCTTCGCTTGCTGGATCCCGATTTGTCCCCCTGTGACCTCATACCCCAAGTACTGCACTGTCTGCTCCCCCCATCTGCATTTGTTGGGATGACAGGTGAGCCCTGCCCCCTCTATGGCACTCAGTGTCCTCTCCACGTCCTCCAGGTGCTGCTGTTCGGTTAGGCTGAAGACCACTACGTCATCAATATAACATACCGCATGCTCTATACCCCGCAGCACCGCATCCATGATCCTTTGGAATACTGCCGAAGCGTTCCTTAGACCGAACGGCATGTACAACCACTCGTACAGCCCATCAGGTCCATGAAAGGCCGTTTTCTTCACATCTTCTTCTCTGATCTTTATTTGATTGAACCCCTGCCGTAGGTCCAGCGTTGTGAAAAACACCCCATCGGCCAACTTGTCGAAGAGTTCTTCCGCCATCGGCATCGGATATCTGTCCGGTACAGTGATTTTGTTAAGATCCCTGTAATCCCCACACATTCTCCTGCTCAGCACCTCGCCTGTCAAGTCTTTCCTGGCTGCCACCACGGTCGGGGTGGCGTATTCCGACTCTGACCTCCGAATCAGACCGGCTTCCAGCAGCTCCTTGATTTTCTCCCTACATATCTCTTCATCCCCTGGTGGCATCTTCCTCCTTCGGTGGAATACCGGCTCATCACAGCTCAGCTTCAGTGCCATCTCCTTAATCTTGCACTTCCCCAACTCCTTCAGGGTGAAAGCGAAGCCCTTCCGATGCTTGGCCAGCAGTGTTCGCATGGCTGCCTTCCCTTCTTTGCTCATGTTCTCACCTATCCTCCACTCTGGCTCCTCTCTCTGCAGGCAGGCCCATACCCCTTGTATGACTATTGCTATTGTGTTTTCTCCCTCCTTCAGTCCCCAGTGCAGCACTGTCTCCTTCCACATCCGTTGCACCAGCCATCTCATCATGTACCCATCCATAGCGTTCCCCAACGCCCGCCTCCTTTCCTTCTCACTCACTCCAGGGGCTGCTGTGGCATTCTCCTTGTACCCCATGGCCAGCTCCCTCTCCAAAGCCATGGGCTCTTCCCATCATCCCTTCCTATGGTCATGTACAAGTCCTGGGCCCGGCTGCTCCCCATCCATCCGATATCCTGCTGCCCCCTCATATGACACCAGGGTGGGTAATGCCTGCCTCTCCTGTCCCACCTGGTTGCACGGGTAGTGCCCGCTGTAGCTCATTTTGCTCACTGGTGCTGGAGTCCTTCCTGGCTCCAGTATGTCGCTCACCTTTCGCCCCCCTGCCCTCTGCACTCCCTCTATCTCCCTCTGCAGATCTTCCACTGGCACCACATTCTGCCAGTACATCCTAAGCCGATGTGCATAGGCTCCCATCCGTGCCGCGTCACTGCTCACCCCTTTGCCCACCTGCCTTGTCACTCTCTCCCTTACCAACCTTACTGGTTCCCGGACATCTCCTTCCATGTCCAAGTGTTCCAGCAAGTAGGCCAGTCTGCCCTGCCTAGCCTGCACCCACTCCATAATCTTGAACAACTCCTCCATCAGTTTGGTCCTGGGGTCTAGCTCACCCTTGCCCTTTCCCGCCCATGATACCCCTTGGCATTCCCACCCTGCCACCAGCAGGTCCACGTGCCCCCAGCTTGCCACTTCAGCTTCCGTGATTGCTTTTACATCGTTCACTCCTCTGCTCATCGCTGCCTTGATCACGTCTCCCCTCAGCAGCTCCGAAAACTCTCTATGCAGCTCCCACGCATGATGTTCCGCTATCTTCCTCACTTCCGCTGCCTGCTCCACGTAGATCCACTGTTTCACCGCTATTCCATTCCGCACCACTGCTGCCAGTCCCGCCCCTATTCCCCCGAACAGTTCCACCAGCCGGATGGGTTGCTGCCAATCAGTCTGTTGGCTAGGCTCATCCATGTGGCGCATCCTGGGCTCCCTGCCCTATCCTTTGCCAGCCACTCGCTCTTGTGCCCCCTGCTTTACCGTCACCTCCTTCTGACCTGCACCGTAGGCCCTCTTTGGCTCTGTCTTCACAAACTGCACCGGCAGCTGCCCTAGCGGTTCACCCTTCCTCCACCACCTAGTTCGGAAATCCACTGTCTCTTTCCAAAAGCAGATGGTCATGCCCAATGCAAAAATCATCTCCGTGCCCACCAGCACATCAAAATCTTCCGACTCTGAAATCCCGCATCTGATTCTGACTGGCGTCTCATGTTTCTCCCCTTTCAACACCGTTAGTTCTATCGGAGTCCTCGTGCAGGGCATCCATTTTGACTCTCCTCCCTCTGCCGTCATTACTAGCATCCCCTTCATCACATGTCTGTCCGGTGCCCACAGTCCCAGCTTCTCGGCCATCCCCTTCCCTAGTATGACATTCTGTGCTCCGGTGTCTATGATAGCTGTCTTTGCCTTCTCCCCTTCCACCGTCAGTGCTCCATTCTGGATCAGCAGCACCGATGTTTGACATGCCAGCCGCTCCTGCGGGTGACGTGCAGCTGTGCATCTCTCTTCCTTCTCTTCTGGCTTCTGCCCCCTTTCCCGCTCTTTCCTCGCCTGTTCCCTTCGCCCATCCTTACCTCCGCTGCGCAGCCCCATCTCTTCTCTCCCTCTCCATGCCATGTATGCAGGTTGCTCCTCATGTTCTTCCTCATCCTCCTCCCTCAATCCCCACGCCATGAGTGCTCCTTGCTCTTCCTGTGCTACATCTTCTTCCTCCTCATCCCTGGCATACATCCCTGCCTCTGCTTCGCGTCGAGGTCCCAGTGCCTGCAGCTGCGCTTGCAGCCGGCTGATCTGCTTCTCGTGTTCCTCCAGCTTCTTCTTTGCTGCTCCCTCTCGCTGGTAGCAGTCTTTTGCCGCATGTCCTCCTCTTCCACAGATTTCACACTTCGGTGCTTCAGGGCATTCCCGTCGCCGATGCCCTGGTTTCCCGCAACTGTCACAGTTTTTGCAGTCCTTGCGTATGTGTCCCGGCTGTCCGCATCTATGGCATGTCCGTGTCTCTGGCCTGTTCTCTCCTCGACCCACTGCCTTCTCCCTTTCTTCAGGTATGATCGTTGCTGCCCAAGTCGGCCCACGGCTTCGCTCCATGGTCCTGGGTCGATATGCCTCATATTTTCTTTGTGCTTGCTCCATCTTCTCTGCCAATTCGAATACCTCATCCAGCGTTGTGCCTGCCCCCACCTCATACACCTTCATGCGCAGCCCGTTTCCCATGGTGTTGTCCAGCCCATCCAAGAACTTGCTCACCAAGAGGCCCATGTCCCCACACGTCACATCCTCCGCCAAGTTGATCAGCCGATTGTAATAGGTGAGCAACGACTCACTCCTCCCTCTCCGGAACTCCTGAAATTCCCTTATCTTCTCTGCAGTATGTCCGGAAAACTGCCGCTGCAGCCGCTTCAGAAATGCCTCTGTAGGGTCTTCCCCATACCTGCCCGCCCTCTCAAGCAATTCATCCATCCTCATTCTGTACAGCGTCTTCGCCTCCCCTTCCAATGTATTTGGCAGACTTAGGAAGAAATCCACCGCATCCATGCCGCTCCGCTCACATCTATATCTCACATTCCCCACTTGCATCAAGTAGTTCTTCAGTGTAGGCCCCACGCGCTGGTCTCCTGAGAACCGCGCCGGCACTTCCACATGTGTGGCCATCGCTGCACTTCCACGCCCCTCGCCCCATGACTCACTTGCTCCCCTTTCCTGCCTTCCTGACGTCCCTCCTCCTCTAGCCCGCTCGATCCCTTCCTTGCTTCTCTGGCGCGCTCCATGCTATATGCCAGACCGCTGCCTACACCTTTGCTTCTGTGCTGCTCCTGCTTTGCTTCCCATCGCCTTTCCTCCTCACCCTTCCTCCCTCGCCGATCTGGTGAGTAACTCGCCCGCGCCCAATCTTCCCCTCGCCCTTGGTGCTACCAGCGCTTCTCAGGTGTCGGGGATCGCGGAGCCCTCCTTCCCTCCTGCCCATAACGATTGTCTCGGTGACGCCACTCCTCCTCCCATCTCCCTCTTTGTCCTCGCTGCAGATCACGTTCTGGCGAGCGGTGCCCGCCTCCATATCTCTCTTCACGCCGCGGACGCTGATCCAGCGAGCGATGCTCGCTTCCCCTGCTCATACCCCGTTCTTGGTGCCGATCTGGCGAACTTGACTCGCCTCCCCACTTCCTCTCCTGATGTTTGCGCAGATCCGGCGAGCGTGGCCCACTTCCCCGCCTCCCGTCATGCTGGCGATACGAATCTGGCGAACGCGACTCGCCTCCACGCCTTCCCTCATGGCATTGGCGCCGATCCGGCGAGCGTGACCCGCTTCCCCACGCTCCGTGATGCTGCTGACGCGGATCCGGCGAGCGTGACTCGCCTCCCCTTCTCCCGCTGCGATTCCTCCACGGATCTGGCGAGCGTGACTCACCTCCCCACCTCCTGCTGCGATTCCTCCACGAATCCGGCGAGCGTGACTCGCCTCCCCGCCTCCCGCTGCGATTCCTCCACGGATCCAGCGAACGCGATCCGCCCTCCCGTCTCCCGCTGTGATACTTCCCCGGATCCGGCGAACGCGATCCACTTCCCCGTCTCCCGTCACGATGCTGACGTGGCTCAGGCGAACGCGACGTGGCTCAGGCGAACGCGACCCGCCTCCCCGCCTTTCGTCATGATGCGGGCGCCGATCTGGCGCGCGCGGACCGCTTCCCCGCTTTCCATCATTCTGCTGGCGCGGATCTGGCGCGCGCGACGCGCCGCTGCCCTGCTCCCCGCCGTGCGCCTGTTGTCCAGAAACGGGTGCTTCCTTACGCGCGCTTCGTACGCCGCTAGTTCTGCCTGCCTCTTCCGCCTCGCCTGCCTTGGCAGGGTTTGCCTCCGTTACCTCCGCGGGCATGTCGCGCTGCTCGCTTGCGCCCTCCTCCTGGGCTTCGCCGTCAACCTCAGGCACGTTGTCACGCTCGGATCCCTGCGACGTGTCCGAGCTCTCTTCCACTCCATCTCCATCGGCGTTGAGGTCTCCCTCTCGGCACGAAAACAACTCCTCCAAGCCTCGCCCGCGACTCCGATCCTCGCGACGGCGATAGCTTGCCTCCGGCGAGCGATACGCTCCCGTCTCCTGACGATACCCAAGATCGCCACCTGCTCCGTGGCGCGGTTCCGTCCGCCACGGATCACTTCCCACCAGGGCCGATCCCGATCCGCCCGCTCCTGCTCGTGCGGATCCGCCCTCTCGGCGCCCGGGCGCGAGAGGCACCTGGTCCGCGCGAAAGGCAGGCCTCCGCGGCGATCTCTCCAACGATCGCCCACGCTCACGCGAGTGTCCGCGCCACGCGCGATCCTCCTCGCGACGACCATACGTCCTGCCATGACGCAGCTCATACCCGTCCATCCTTGTACGCGCGCACGCTTTTCTCTTGTTATGAAAGAGACAAAGCTCCCACCCGAAGGGTCCTCCCTGAGTGGTGTGTCACCTAGCCGAAGGATGAAGGTAACAACGATCCACTATACGAAAGGATACCAAGAGAAAAGCAACGAGTGAGTGTGTGTTAGTGAATTTACCTGTCCCTGGCTCGAAGCGTGCATTTCTCAATGTGCGCCTCGAGCCTGGGTTGGTTCGTTCACATTGGTTCCTTATATTTCACCCCTCGGAGCTCTCCTACCAACTTCGCGGCACTCTCCCTGGTCCCCAACTACCTGCACCCCAAATGTTCATATTCGGTAATGCTACACCCCACACTACACCGCAACATAACTGGCACCTTATATGCACAACCGTGCATATTCGGTGACACGACCATACGTCCTGCCATGACGCAGCTCATACCCGTCCATCCTTGTACGCGCGCACGCTTTTCTCTTGTTATGAAAGAGACAAAGCTCCCACCCGAAGGGTCCTCCCTGAGTGGTGTGTCACCTAGCCGAAGGATGAAGGTAACAACGATCCACTATACGAAAGGATACCAAGAGAAAAGCAACGAGTGAGTGTGTGTTAGTGAATTTACCTGTCCCTGGCTCGAAGCGTGCATTTCTCAATGTGCGCCTCGAGCCTGGGTTGGTTCGGTTCCTTATATTTCACCCCTCGGAGCTCTCCTACCAACTTCGCGGCACTCTCCCTGGTCCCCAACTACCTGCACCCCAAATGTTCATATTCGGTAATGCTACACCCCACACTACACCGCAACATAACTGGCACCTTATATGCACAACCGTGCATATTCGGTGACACGACCATACGTCCTGCCATGATGCAGCTCATACCCGTCCATCCTTGTACGCGCGCACGCTTTTCTCTTGTTATGAAAGAGACAAAGCTCCCACCCGAAGGGTCCTCCCTGAGTGGTGTGTCACCTAGCCGAAGGATGAAGGTAACAACGATCCACTATACGAAAGGATACCAAGAGAAAAGCAACGAGTGAGTGTGTGTTAGTGAATTTACCTGTCCCTGGCTCGAAGCGTGCATTTCTCAATGTGCGCCTCGAGCCTGGGTTGGTTCGGTTCCTTATATTTCACCCCTCGGAGCTCTCCTACCAACTTCGCGGCACTCTCCCTGGTCCCCAACTACCTGCACCCCAAATGTTCATATTCGGTAATGCTACACCCCACACTACACCGCAACATAACTGGCACCTTATATGCACAACCGTGCATATTCGGTGACACGCCCGCTAGAAAATAAGGTTGCAAGGGACGCTGGGGGGGTTGTTGGGATTGGGAGCGATGATGACGTTGCAGACTCTGCACCCACCGTGACGAGCGTTACAACTGCACAAGGCACAAACACCACCCAAGACGAGCTGTAATCAGAAGGCGGCAGAGCCGTGGATGCTCTTGCGAAAGGGCGTCAATGGGGGGTGCTCACATATTAGAACCCAGTAAAACACAGTTCGCTCCATGATAGTAAGCGATGTCAGAGAGACGAGCCCGTTGATCTTGCAGTACTAGTAATAGTGGCCGTAAAACCTTGCAGGTTTCAGAAGCGAGCAAAGATGCGGGACTAGATAACGCGATGTTCAAGAACAGCCAAGTTCGTTGCTACTTATGCGCGGGGGGGGGCTCCTTACTAGAGTAGTTGGGTGATAATCTTGGACGGGTCATCGTCGTGCGACTCGCGTGAAATCTTTCACACGACGATGGTGCCAGGAGGAGAAGGGTTGTCACCCTAGCAGCACATGCGCACAAGCACGGACGATTCGTGTGAGAAGAAATAACAAGGAATGTGAAATGAGAGAAGGAGGAGACACTAGCAAACATTGGGATACATATAGCAAACCCTAACAGGGCTGTACTCACTATAGAGCACCCCACTGCAGACTAGAGAAACATAATATTCTGACACACCCCCATAGTCAAAGTGGGGTGTAATCAGCACAAGAAGCAAAGCAGAACAAGCTCAGGGTGGATCACAATGTCACCACACATTCTGAGCACAAGTACAAGAAGCAACAGTTTAAAGTTCACAAATGTAAGCAAAGCTAGAGGCTATCACAGAGGGCAAGTGTGGAGGAGGAGGGACTATGAGAGGAGAGGAGGTAGTGGGCGGCAGCTGAAGCTGCTGGCACACGGCGCAACTGGAGCAACTGGCACACGGGCAACTGGAGCAACTGGCACACTGGCAACTGGAGCAACTGGCACACGGGCTACTGGAGTAACTGGCTCCGCGGCTAACTCTGAGCGGCAGGAGCAACGGACTCACGGGCGACTGGAGCAACGGGCTCACGGGCAACTGGCGCAACGGGCTCACGGGCGACTGGCGCAACGGTCTCACGGGCGACTGGAGCTGCGGGCTTCACGGCGGCCACCCCCCTTCAACCTCCCCAAACTATCCCACCCCCCTTTCACACACCCCCTGCTGCACCCCTAGGTTCACTCACACTCCACCCCCTAGCACCACTCCGTCGACTCCCACACACCCACCCCCCTCAGCGGCAGCTGCAGTAGTGGGAGACAGAGGAGGAGGAGGAGCAGGGGAGACCACACACCCGCCACCCCCAAACCCTAACACAGGGCAGGGCGGGATGGCGGGTAGGGAGGTTACGGGGGGGGGGCGACGCGCGGCCTCCCAGGGCGCCAGAACAGGCGGCAGAAGGGGCGACGCGCGCCCCCCCCCCCCAAGGTCGCGGCCCCCCAAGGAGCCGCGACGGGCGACGGGAAAAGGGGGGGGGGGGGGGCAGTGCACGGGTCCCCGGCGCGCCGCGACAGGCGACGGGGCATGGCCGGGGCGGGGCCTCGACGGGGCCGCGACGGGGCCGCGACGGGGCCGCGACGGGGGGCCGCGACGGGGGGCCGCGACGGGGGGCCGCGACGGGGGGCCGCGACGGGGGGCCGCGACGGGGGGCCGCGACGGGGGGCCGCGTCAGGGGGGGGCGCGACGGGGGGCCGCGACGGGGGGGCGCGACGAGGGGCCGCGACGGGGGGCTGCGACAGGGGCCGCGACGGGGGGCCGCGACGGGGCCCGCGACGGCAGCAGCAGGGGCCGCGACTGCAGCAGCAGGGGCCGCGACGGCAGCAGCAGGGGCCGCGAAAGGGCCGCGTAGGGGCCGGGGCAGGGCCGGGGCGGGGCCGGGGCAGGGCCGCGACAGGGTCGGGGCAGGGCCGGGGCAGGGTCGGGGCAGGGCCGCGACAGGGCCGCGACAGGGCCGGGGCAGGGCCGCGACAGATCAGCGGCGGGCGACGGGGCAGGGCCGCGATGAGGCCGTGACGGGGCCGCGACGGGGCCGCGACGGGGTCGCGACGGGGCCGCGTAGGGGCCGGGTAGGGGCCGCAAAGGGCAGGATCAGGCGCACGGGGCGCAGAGGAGCAAAGCGCGATGCGCGCGACAGGGCAGCTAAAAAAAAAATTTCAGTCAGGGCAAGGCGGAACGTTCGGTGGGCCCTAGGAACGTTTCTGCTCTGAAACCATGTGAGAAGAAATAACAAGGAATGTGAAATGAGAGAAGGAGGAGACACTAGCAAACAGGGCTGTACTCATTATAGAGCACCCCACTTCAGACTAGAGAAACATAATATTCTGACAATTCGCGCTGCACATGTCCGCTTGGCAAGCGGGCTGCGGGACTGGGGAATGGTCACATATGGTCACATGTGTCTGCCGGGTTCCGGGTTTTCAGTCCAGAAGCTCTCCTTAAGCTCAGTGGAGGGCTTCTCCCAATGCGTCTCCCGCCAACAAGGACGGGGAAACCGAAAGGTTGATTCGAACGTTGATCTGAGTCCGAAGGGAAAGGGGAGGCGACGCCGCAAGGTTTCCTACTAGGGCGAGGTCAGCGCGTCCGTCCTGACCTGACTCGACTGGAAGCGACGCGAAACTGGCGTGCTTGCCAGTGACGATTTCGCAAAGTTTCGGTGACCACTTCCGCACTGAACAGCTCGTCACAAGTTGACTCCCAGTTGCGCTCTATTTTCGCTAGTCTGGAAGCTCCTTAGAACAATTCGGTGCTAATCTTGGACGGATCTCAGTCGTCTCGACTCGCGACATGATATCATTCACACGACGATGGCGCCAGCAGCAGCACATGTCACCCAAGCAACACATGCACAAGCAGACGATTCACGCTGCAAGACGATTCAGAGTCTGCCCTTCCAGGTTCTGACTGGTGTACTGGGTCGTCGAATTCCTCTCTATCCAGCTCACTCTGGTGCAAAGGCGCGAGACCTCTCCCAACGCATCTCACGCCAACAAACACGGGGGGATCCAGAATTGAACTTCAAAATGGACGTGCAGTGAGAGAATTGCTCCAGTGCCTTGTTTGGTGATTCGCTCTTGCCCACGTGTCCCCGAATTGCTCGAGTGGCCATCGAATTCAGTGATAATTGCTCGAGTGGCCACGCCAGGGCATTTTCGAGGGGTTTTTTTTCTCCGGCACATTACCTTACCAGGGTTTGTATCCCCGAAATTCCTCGTTCGCACGAGTCTCATCCCGCGGTAGTGATTCGTATTATTCCCCACCCGAAAATTTCGGGTGGTTGGCGGGCACGAACGTGGCCCGACCAATAGTATATGCGCGGCCATTTTCGCCCCAATGCGCGACCAATGAGCGCGCGGGCAAACAAATTCGGAACCAATAAGTGCTCGAGCATATAAATCCGCGATCATAAACCTCAATTGACCAGCATCAAACCGCAACAGCCCTAACGACCGCGCATGATTCGTCAATGATATGCTCGGTGCAATTGTTGGCATTACATGTCCAATCAGGTGCCATCATTAAGGATTGCAACCATATTTGACCGCGCAAATGAAACTCAATTTACTTTATGATCTCGCCAATCATATGCTAAAAACACTCGCACAAACATAAACTCTGGCCAGTTAGGTTCAAATTAAAACGCTCAAACTCAGTTTGGTACGCCTGTATCATCTTCCCGCGCATTATGATTTGAAACATATGCTACAGATCGCTCACACCATTTCCTCGTTGTTTTAGGGTTGACATCTACCCTTGCCTTCGATTAGACCACTTAGGTCCTTCTAGGAGCTTTTCCGGCTTGAACGTTCCTATTAGCCGCAATGGGTTCGATGTCTTACACCTCTAACACAGAGTCCGACTCAGGCGATGAAGATACAGAGTTTTGCTTCGTTGGAACTGGAGAGCCCAAACAAAGTGATATGTACCGTTCGTTGCTCCGGGAAATGGTCGTCGACGAGGACCGCTCGCCACAAATTGTGATAGACGATCGAGCCTCGTTGTGTGAAGGTCAACTATACTCGTCTAAGCAATTTTTGTATGAAGCACTAGAAGACTATTCGGTAGCTTGCAACTTCGGATTTAGGGTTATGAGGAGTAGGCGAAACAGAGTCCACGCCATATGCATGAGTCAACTTGAGCGTCTTAAACCAGCGTGCAGGTGGCGGTGTGAGTACTCCACTGACGGTGTGGGTGGGTTTTGGCGTCAACTGTCCGCCCCATCATCTCATTGCTGCTCACCCGTTGATCGGGACCGCTACGTGAAGCATACAACAAATAAAGTGTCATATCTGCAGCGTCATCATGGCAACCTTGTCCATGCTGCACCACATCACCCTCCCGGGACGTACAAGGATCAGATTGCGTCAACCGGTGGTCCGGATATCAATTATCACCAATCATGGCGGTACGTCTCGAAACATTCTCTCCATATCGCTTCCATTGTCACATGCACATTCTTAAGCACACCATTCACCTTCTGTTTTCTCAACGTGCCTATCTTTTCTCGCACATCGTCATCCCTCATTGTAGGCTCAAGGAAAGGATGCTGAAGGAGCGCTTTGGGAGATTGGAAAACTTCTTTCCGCTACATTCCTCGGGTGTTGGAATGGTTCAGAGAGATTGACCCTGATTCAACGCTCGACCTTGTGACGAGGGATCACGCTTTCTTCCGGGCTTTTGCCGCCCCATCGGCATCAAAACTGCTCTAAGGTTCTGCCGACCGGTCATTGGCATGGATGGTACATTTCTCATTCGGGCGCAGCGGGCTACGCTCTTGGTTGCGGCTACTAAAGATGGAAATAACCAGCTTGTTCCACTCGCTTTCGGTCTATGCGAGAGCGAGAATAAAGACAGTTGGAAGTGGTTTTGTGAGAAGTTGTTGACGCATTTTCCTTCGTGGCCGGCTACCCACGATGCCTCCCTTATCAGTGATCGTGATAAAGGGTTAATACCAGCGGTTAAAGAAGTGTTCCCATCCCAGTTCCCCCACTACTTTTGCAGCTGGCATTTGGAGCAGAATGTGCTGAAGTTTGGCGCTAACGCCTCTGAACTCTTCAAGAAGCTCGCAAACTGCCGCACGAAGCGGAAGTTTGGCAAACTCGTGAGGAGATGCCGGGCCGAGTGTGTTGCAATGGCGAACTACCTCTTTGGGGTCGAAGAGGCCCGTGTGCAGCAGACCCGAGGCAGACGGGGAGCCGACCAGCGTGCAAGGGAGCCAGAGGGCGGGGATGGGTTACGGAGCCGGACGGGTGCGGCACAACGAGCGAGAATGGCAAGGATGGAAGTGCGGCGGCAAAGGAGGAGTGGTCGCAGGGGAGACCAGCAGACACCATCTCGGCAGCCACCATCTCAGCAGCCACCATCTCAGCATCCACCAACTCAGCAGCCACCATATCAGCAGCCACCACTTCAGCAGCAACCATGCCAGCAGCCACCATCTTAGCAGCCACCATATCAGCAGCCACCACTTCATCAGCGACCATCCCAGCAGCCATCATCTCAGCAGCAGCCATCTCAGCAGCCACCATCTCAGCAGCCCCATAGGGACCATGGGTTCAGACCCATGCCAGCTGCGAATCATACTCGTGACCGCCCTTGTGACCTACGGCCTAAATCTACAGCTGCCGACAACGTGCATCCATCTGATCATGTGACAGCAACACCATCCGAGCTCCCTTCGTTGGCAGGCGAGAATGTGGGAGATATGCTTACAACCATGTCCGACAGTCAGGCGGAGGCAGATACCAAAGAAGTATTCATGGAGCAGTTCGACGTGGAGGATGGGAGCCAAATCAGCTGGGGGGAGGAACCGGAGGATGATGAGGTTGAGGAGTGTACAGACATGGGCCATTTCTCTCAAGCCAACACTACTACAACTCAACGGCTATCCACCACAGCAGCGCAGCAAGCGGCCATGAGACGCCAACAGCGGATGGAGATTATAAGGGGAAGGCGGAATGCAACAGAGGGAAGTGCAAGAGGGCTAGAACGGCCATGATCCCGTGTCTAGTCTAGCCTACACGCAAAGGGCTTCGGCTGTTGTTTTGCCTGACCGTGACATTAGTTGTGTAATGTGGTGACGATGCAGGTTTCATTTCAGTGTGATGATTGTGGTCAATCCTGGAGTTGTGACTCTCCCGCTCGACGAGGACATCGCCACCCAGCCTGCGTGGTTGCTGCTGTATGACTCCCTTGGGATGCATTCTGTTGGGGGCAATGCATTCAAGAACATGACCAAGTAAGGTTCCGCTAGAGGTTGCGAACACAAATTCCCTTACAAGCACGCAAACATCACCATGCATGATTTTGTTTAATTTATTCAAACTTCCACTTCGTCTTTTGTCCTTCCCAACGCGGTCCCGTCACAGCTTGCTAGGCATGGCCTACGAGAAGGACCATGGAAACCGACCAATAGAAGAGATGAAAGCGAGGCTCGGGAGATTCCAGCCACACGTCATGGAGGTGTGTTGACCAGTACTACGCTTGTCTACCATGCTACATCCTATGCTTATTCATGTGCAGCCATGCTATTATTGCAACCCATGCAATCCTGGTGCAACCATGCGCATGGCGCATGCAATCCTGGTGCAACCATCAAACAACCAATGTACTGCCCGGTTCAAAGTGCTCTCGTGTGTATGGTGCCACTAAGTTGAGTGCAGCCATCTGTACGTGCAAGGTGCTTTCCCGTGCAAACTGTTGTACTCTGCATGGTGCACATGTTGTCAAACTTATATGCTATAGTCTTTCTAGGCTGTAGTGGGGTAGACAGTATGGGGTACAGCTTTCTAGGGTTTCATATTTGTACCCAACTCATTTCCTAGTTCATCATTCATTCCTCATTTCTTCACATGGTATCAGAGCAGGTTCCCTAGTGGGAACTGTTCCTAGGGCCCACCACTGAAAATCGATTAAACTTTTTTTTCTGCCCGGAGAGCGAGTCGCTCCTGACCGAGGCGCGCCCTGTGTGCCGTCCTTCCCTTCGCGCCCTCTCACGGCCCCTCTCGCGGCCCCGTCGCCGCCCTTAGCGGCCCCTCGCGGCCCCACCCTACACGGCCCCGTCGCCGCCCTCTCGCGGCCCCGTCGCCGCCCTCTAGCGGCCCCGTCGCCGCCCTCAGCGGCCCCGTCGCCGCCCTCTAGAGGCCCCGTCGCCGCCCTCAGCGGCCCCGTCGCCGCCCCCAGCGGCCCCGTCGCCGCCCTCTAGCGGCCCCTTCGCAGCCCTTGCGGCCCCGTCGCCGCCCTCAGCGGCCCCGTCGCCGCCCTTGCGGCCCCGCCGCCGCTCTTACGGCCCCGTCGCCCCACTCTCGCGGCCCCGGCGCCGCCCTCTAGCGGCCCCGTCGCCGCCCTCAGCGGCCCCGTCGCCGCCCTTGCGGCCCCGCCGCCGCTCTTGCGGCCCCGTCGCCGCCCTCTCGCGGCCCCGTCGCCGCCCTCTAGCGGCCCCGTCGCCGCTCTCAGCGGCCCCGTCGCCGCCCTCAGCGGCCCCTTCGCCGCCCGCAGCGGCACCATCGCCGCCCTCAGCGGCCCCGTCGCCGCCCTCGCGGCCCCGTCGCCGCCCTCTTCCTTGGCTTCCCCACTAACGCTCCTGGTTGGCAGTTTTACCACCCCACCTCGCGCTGTGTTCTGTCCTCTCAGGACGTCACGTTTGACGAGTCGGTTCCCTACTACCGTCTCTTCCCCTACCGCACTGCGCCCCTCCCCCCGCCGCCGCTCTTCCTCGCGCCAGGTCCCCCCCCGGTAGACCCCCTCCCCCCTCAGGGTCCTGCCCCCTCAGGTGTGTCCCAGGTAGATGCAGTCGAGCCGGTCGAGGTAGCTGTTGACTCTGGTGCTGCTAGGGGTGCTGAGCCTGCGGGTGCGGGGCCTGGGGGTACTGACTCTGGGGGCGCTGAGACTGGGGGTGCTGAGTCTGGGGGTGCTGAGCCTGGAGTAGCTGAGCCTGGGGGTGCTGAGCCTGGGGGTGCGGAGCCTGGGGGTGCTGAGCCTGCTCGTGTGGCGTCTGGCGGGACTGGGCCTGGAGGTCCTTTGGGTGCTTCGTCCCGGCGAGAGCTACTCTCTCCACAGGAGCTACGCGAGTGGTTTGCTCGGCGCTGGAGCCGTGCTGCTGGAGCTGGAGGTGCTGGAGGTTCTACTACTGCTGAGGGTGCTGGTGCCACGGGTCCCGGAGGTGCTCGTACTGGAGGTACTGGAGCTGCTGGGCCTGCGGGTACTCCTTGTGCTGGAGCTGCTGGAGGTGCTGGAGCTGGAGCTGGAGCTGCTGGGGGTGTTGGCGCTGGAGGTACTGCTGGTGCTGGTGCTTCTGAGGGTGCTGGTGTTGGTGCTGCTGGAGCTGGTGCTGCTGGCGCGGCTGGAGCTGGGGGTGCTACTGGAGCTGGTGCTGCCGTTAGGGGTGCGGGTGCTGTTCCTGCGGGTTCTGGGGGTGCTGCACGGCCGCGACCGTACTTCGTTCCGCTCCTTGAGCAGGTTCTTGGTCTTCCGCCCTCTACTAGTCCTGCTCCTCTCTTAGAGTGTCCGCCGCCTGTCCAGTCTGATCACAGTTACAACCAGCCTCCCCACTGCCTGCTCCTTCTCCCTACACTGGTCCTACTGGAGGTCTTGCTGAGCGTCGTGAGCCTGCGTCTCGTCCTGCGTCGCCTGTCCGTGCTGCTCGCACTAGTGGTCGTGGTTCGCGTCAGCGTCCTCCCCCTGTCCCCGGCACGCACCAGATGTCTCTGCGTCCTTCCACTGCTCCACTGCGTGTCCCTTTGACTTCTCCTCCTGAGTCCTCTCTTCCTGCTCTTGCTGACCCAGAGTCGGACTCCCTTCGTGCTGCCAGTCCTACTGTCACGCGTCTCCTTGCTACTGTCGTCACTGACCCTTCCTTCGAGTCCACTGCTGCGTCTGCCTTAGTTGCTGAGCTTGTCGACTTTGCTGCTCGCTGTCGTCTAGACTACACTGCTAGTCTTGTCGCTGAGTCTGAGTCTGTCTGTCCTCCGTCTGTCGGGGGTGAGTGTGCCCTTAACGTCCTTGAGGACAGGCAGGAGGAGTTCCAGTGCTTTGCTGCTACTTCACCTCATCTCGTGTCCATGCTGCTGGCCCTTGCGGGAGACCCGGATGCACCAGACATCCCGACTCCGCGCTCTTACGCGGAGGCGATAGAGGGTCCCTACTCCTCTCAGTGGCAGGCAGCCATGGACGCAGAGATGGCTTCCTGGAAGTCCACAGGCACCTACGTCGACGAGGTTCCCCCACCTGGGGCTAACATCGTCAGTGGCATGTGGATTTTCAGGGTGAAGCGGCCCCCGGGTTCTCCGCCTGTCTTCAAGGCGCGTTACGTGGCTCGAGGCTTCAGTCAGCGGCAGGGAGTTGACTACTTTCAGTCCTTCTCTCCCAACCCGAAGATGACCACTCTTCGGGTACTACTGCACATAGCCGCTCAGCGCGACTACGAGCTTCAATCTCTTAGACTTCAGCACTGCTTTCCTACAGGGTAGCCTGCACGAGGAGATCTGGCTGCGCCGCCCACCTGGCTTCACTGGGTCTTTTCCTCCTGGCACCCAGTGGAGCCTCCGGCGGCCAGTCTACGGTCTCCGCCAGGCACCTCGTGAGTGGCACGACACACTGAGGACTACACTTGCGGCTCTTGGGTTTGCTCCTTCTACTGCCGACCCGTCGCTGTTTCTGCGCACCGACACCTCTTTGCCGCCGTTCTACATCCTCGTGTACGTCGACGACTTGGTCTTTGCCACAGCTGACACTGCTGGACTCGCCCACGTGAAGTCCGAGCTGCAAAAGAGACACACGTGCACAGACCTGGGTGAACTACGCAGCTACCTTAGCTTGCAGATCACCCGAGACAGAGCACAGCGCACCATTACCCTGACTCAGTCACACATGGTGCAGCAGGTCCTTCAGCGCTTCGGCTTCACGTACTCCTCGCCACAGGCCACTCCTCAGTCTACTCGCCACTCGCTCTCAGCTCTGCCTTCGGATGAGTCCGTAGAGCCGAGTGGTCCGTACCCAGAGCTTGTTGGCTGCCTCATGTACCTGATGACCTGCACACGACCTGACCTTGCATACCCTCTTAGCATTCTGGCACGCTATGTTGCTCCAGGGAGACACCTCCTTGAGCACATGGCTGCAGCGAAGAGGGTGTTGCGCTACTTGTGCAGTACGTCAGGCATGGGGCTAGTGCTTGGAGGGCGGAGTCCAGTGGTCCTCACTGGTCACGCAGACGCGTCTTGGGTTGACGACTTGGCTACGCAGCGGTCGTCACAGGGTTACACCTTCAGCCTTGGTTCCGGTTCTGTTTCGTGGCGGTCTACTCGCTCTTCTTCTGTTCTCAGCTCCAGCTGTGAGGCTGAGATCTACGCAGGGGCCATGGCTGCACAGGAGTTACGCTGGCTCACCTACCTGCTGACTGACCTCGGAGAGCCGCCTCGTTCTCCTCCAGTTCTGTACGTAGACAACAAGGCCATGCTGGCCTTGTGTCGTGAGCACAGACTGGAGCACAGAACGAAGCACATTGCTCTTCGCTACTTCCTTGCTCGTGAGCTACAGCAGCGTGGTCA